TTAGTTAACAAGTGTAAGCTTCGCTGCCCGACAATATGGAGTACTGACCACACCGATGGACAGGCCCTGAAGCGAAGGACAGGAACGAGCGGAATTAATGTGTTCCAATTTCTGGCCTTGCACCGACCATCTAATGGACCATGGACTAAACGGCCACTGCCTGAAAGGACTATGTCCCATGGACCGCCACCCCCCCACAAGGTACATCTCGCGCCTATGGGCTGCTATAACTATCCAAGAAGACACTCGAAACAGGAAGGATAAACAAACCCACCCGGTGGACTGCCGAGCTACAAGTCCCACGACACAGGAGCGAGATTCTCTAAAAAGCCAAGGTCGCGGGTGGCCAAGAGGGCCCACTTGAAGACTTGGGATCTCAGCAGGAAATGTGAAGGTTGCTTAAAGCCGGCCGATAGGCGAAAGAGAATCAACTAGTTTAGTTCTGATCTGAGTAGGCTTATAAATAATAGGGAATACTCTAACCCTGGGAACCGGGGCCTGGCCAAAGTCCAAGGTGGCTCAAAGTTCGATCAAGGAGATCCCTGTCCTGTGCCCTATTCACTAAGATCTTCGAATTAGCCCTTACCGAAAAGCACAGCTTACCTCACTCTAGGAATTCCAATTCAGGTATTCTATCTATTCACCCTCAGATCACTTAAACTCACTTTCAAGCTTGATTGAGGGATTCGTAGCATGCTTGCTATGCCTTTTCCCTTCCAAGAAGATTTATAACTTCGTCCGGGGTAGACGGGTCTACCAGCTACAACCATGAAGCTGAGGTCATCGTGTTGGAAGGTCTTCTTCCAAGGATGAAGCTTGACTCGGGTAGGGACTGCTAAGTCCGCTACTTTGGTTTGGAAACCTCCAGACGTGCCGAAGGATCATACGCTTCACAGAAGGAAGAGATAGAATCCAGCTTTTGTTTGTTATCAGGAGTGCAAGTTCCCAACATCGCTCCGGTTGGAATTAGATAAACTAAGTTTGTTTCGGTATGATAAAATAACCAATCCTGAATAAGGGATAAGTCATCCGTGTACAGACTATGGCATCGTTAAGCCCTTTTAATTAAGTGTGAAATGTTTTGTTTCAAAGTAGCTAAGGGAAGTTTGGTCGGAGACCTGATCTTTGGTCATATAGCCGTGTGATAAGTCTGGTACTCTATTAAGAATAAGAAAAGAAGAAAATTCTCTGATCATCTGTCATATGTGCTGCCCATATCCTGAGCCTACTTAGAAGGGACTCCATAACAGAGATCTTCTTTGACACGCGGGCCTAGTTTCCACCAACCCAGATGTACCCCCGATTAAGTGATGACACTGACGGTACTATCCTTCCTTTTATTTTATTAGGGCCGGATGCTTAGTTTCCTTCTAACTTAGTACTGATCTTTATTGTACGATTTGCTTTCTTAGTGTTGACACCCACGTATGCCGATCTTACAAGGAAGCGGCAGAAGAACCTATTTGACAGTAATCTATCAGGAACTTCAGAAAAAGACTGGAAAGTAAGGAACGAAGTGCTCGACCGGAAGGGATAAGATAGGAAGTAGTACGCCCGGTTCACCAGATTCTACCACTGCAGGGCCCAATCATACTCAAAAGAAGAGTTTGATGCTGGCTCAGAAGGAACGCTAGCTATATGCTTAACACATGCAAGTCGAACATTGTTTTCGGGACAAATGTCACAGAAGTCAGAGAAAAAGCTTTTGAAACACTAACTAGAAAAATAAAAAGAGAATAAAACCCAATACAAAATGAGCGCTAATAGAAGACTTATTTTTTTTAATTTTTCAATCAATAGTGCAGGCATGTGTGGGACGCAGAGGAAGAGCAGTTCTAAAGTTGAGTTAAGATAGCAAGCAAATTTTATCAGAAATCAACCATAGTTCAACCAAACCCCTGTCTGCACCCTATGGAGCCGCATTTAAGAACTTGAACCAGCGCAGTCATGTCAACAGTAGCCAAGTACATGAAACTCGAACAAAATAAAGAAAGCCAACCAATTGGAGTCTCACCCTAGTTATGATCCTGAACATCTAACCCTCAGGTAGCCAAGAAGCCAGAGTCTATCCTCTTCATAACACACTTGTGCCATATAATACAAAAACTAAAGTTTACCAAAAAACCTTTATCCAACCTATCCTTCGTCTCCTTTTAACCCTGTCCAAGACCCTTCTTTCTTATCCAAGCCCGTGTTCGTCGCATTGGACTAACTGGCTACTTCTAGCAGCTAATCAGTCAAAGTCAAATCTGTTAATTCAATATCTTTCTCGCCTTATCCTGCTAACAACCTATGAATGTGGGCTTGTCGGAAATCATCTTAAATCTTCGATTCCTAGTGCGCTGATTCGAGAACAAGCGAGGCTGCCACGCTTCCTGCTGCTCCTGCTAATGCTATTGCTACCTCCTCCTTTGCTCCTTCGATACGTGCCCGGTAGAAATGTGTTTTTGCTTTATATTCTTCCTGAAACAGCTTTGAGGCCTTGTCAGTTGCTTTCACTAGCAGCGCTTATGCCAGAAGCACTCGTAGGTTAAAGAACTGTAAGATTGGATGGGCTTGTTCTTGAATGCGCAAGGACTAAGAAGACTGCTGCCATTCCATTCAGGTAATGCAATAGTGAATGTCCAATCAATAGCAATAGTGTTGTGGCACTTCTTTATGACTTTCCTGTTGAGCATAACTTCTGGAGGATTTGATATGGATGTAACTTGCTCTAGAATCATAAGTTTCCTAATCGAATAGGATAGGGTGCAGGCCAACTCGGAATAGAAAGAGCCCTTTCCTTTAGTAGGACGGCACGAGTGAGCTTATTAAAGCGTGAATCCTAGAGGAGGATCAAGGGGGTAAGATCCCCGGGTGGGATAAATCAGGTCTTTGTCTTTGCAAGGGAAAGTGGTAAATTATGGATTTAAACTAAGGTATCGTGCCCTAAGATAAGGCACAGTCAAAGCAGGGACTTAGAGACTAGCATCCGATTGTGGGCATCTTTTGATTGAGTAGGTCAGGAAAGAGTCAACAGGCGATTATCCCCAACAGCGGAAACACCGCTATTCCTGAGTAGTCGTAGTTAGCCGTAATAAGAGGTTTCGCGGGGCTACCAACTTTTTGTCTAGGAACGACTTGCCTAGTTGGAACTCTTCTCCTCCGACTCCTGAGGCGTACTACAGATCAGTGTGTTCTTGCCCGCTTGGTACTTTGATCCGAAGATCCCGAGCCCCTTCTTCTACCCATTTCTTTTGGTAGCTACCGATTACTTCACCAAATGGGTCGAAGCTGAGCCATCTAAGGTTTGTCTTCCCGGTTTTCCCAGACGCGAGTCAAGTCATCTTCTTCATCAGGCTTCCTTCTCACAGTAGAAGCGGTAGCGGTACTGGAACGAGTTCCCTATTCGATATGGTTTCATTCCACCAGTCCGATAGCACTGGGTCAAAGGGCTTCACTTCGGAACCTTTTCTTGCCCGTGGGCATAAAATTAACCCTGAGGTGACTCTGTCCCTGGCATCCCTTTCTTCCCCCCAACTTTATTCACTTCGCGGTAAACACAATAGCCAGCAGGTCAAAGCCTTTTTTGGGGTCCAAGGGCCCCCTACTACCCAATTCCTGTCTTCGGAACTATGGGGATATGTTACTTTCTGCGATGGCCCTCCACCTCGTTGGGAAAAGTGAAAGGAAATAACAAGCCCTAAACTAAATACCAACTAGCAGCTTATCAACCACCGAACACAGACTCATGTTGGCGATGCCATGGTAAAGTAAGAGAACGAGCCATTCATCCTAAGTATTATTTTAGTATAGAAGAGAGGCATTCTGAGCCTACTACTACGACTACATGCGCATCTAGTGCAGTGGCTTGGAAGCAAGCTACCTTGACCATCTTCCGAACTTATCCATAATTTCCTGATCAAACGCAGTAGGGGCGGACTGCTCTTCATTCAGCCACGCCACAGTGACCCCAGAAGCGATCTTCTTTTAGTTAGGGACGAAATTCGGCAGCCGCTGGCTCTGAATAACCAGCCCGTTAATAAGTTAAATTCTTCCATAACATAACGGGGCGGGGTTGCGCGCGAGCCAAGTGACGGAGGTGCACAAGAGTACTTCGCGCCACAACCATCTCTTTTTTATAAGTTCTACGGACTGATGCCTGCTGCTTCATCTGGGGGAAAAGAATCATAGATATGCCGGTCATTAGAAGGAAGAACCTCCATAAAAAGATTCCTCGTGTATCATCTGTAGCAAAACTATGAACAGAAGCTAGCAATCCGGACCGTATTGAAAAGGTTCCTGAGACACAGCATGGAAGAGTAACAATATTAAGAAACGAGATCCAAGAATAAAGAAGGGGTAGAATTATGGAATGAATACGAGCTGTGGCTAATACCCAAGGCATAAAAGAAGCATTTTCTACGGGATCCCGAAACCACCAGCCACCCCGACCTAATTCATGATGAGCCCACCAACTTCCTGGCATGATGCCCACGGTTAAAAACCACCAACATGTCAAGATCCAAATTCGAATCTGTTTCTGGTCCTGGTCAGATACCACTGTGTTCGCGTCGGCGCTCCAACAAAGAGGCGAAGTAGTGGTCTCTTTCTGTTCATTACGAACGACACGCTTCGCCTGCTCGCTCCCCGTGTCCATTAGCGCTCCTATCCAGAGCAAAGAGAAGGCGAAAAAGCGCCGCCAAAGCAGCATGAGCAGGCTTCTATTGCTACGCAACAAGAGAGCTGGATAGCATTTTGCGACCACATGTTTTAATTTAATGGTAAAAAGCTCGCTTGTTATACGAGATCCGACGCATCCAGCAGAGCGAAGCAACGTTCCCTTCTTTTCGGCGGCATCCTTCCGCATTGGCGGCGAGTGGAGTGCCACAATCCCATTCCAAATTTTTGATCCACATAATCCAAAGCCCATAGCCCTGGCGACGTCTCCGGCATAAATGCAAGGAGGATGTATAACTGATATAGGATCTTGTGGAACAGGATTTGATTCTGCAAGCGGTTCGGTACGAACGAAGAAATTTCGAACAAAAGGATCGGAACTCACTAATAGGAAAGGAGAGAAAAACAAAGCAATGCCAAGAGCTTCGTCAACCCGCTGTTCATCGATAGACGAAGCTCTCTCTTTATCATATCGTGCCAGATGCAACAAAGGATGAGTCCTTCTTTTTCCTTCTCGCGAACCACGGGAGCACCTAGCACCCAGAGGAGCAAAGCTAATTATCCTTTCAGGGTAAAACGGCGCATAAAAAAGGGCTGGCCCGTCAAACGTCTGGTTCCTTCGCGAACGAAGTTCAGAATTAACAAGGGTTCGTAGAACGAAGGGAAGAAGGAAGCATAATGAGGCATTGCATGTCTCATTTGAATGTAGGGGCACAACCTTGGCTCATGTGTTAGTTGATACCGGTTCATCCCTGAATGTGTTGCCTAAAAAGGCTCTTGATAGGATTGACTGTGAGGGATTTACATTGAAGCCAAGTAACATAGTAGTAAGGGCTTTTGACGGCTCGAAAAGGATGGTACATGGGGAGGTAGACATTCCCATAAAAGTTGGAACACAAACATTTGATTCAACTTTTTATGTAATGGATATTCGCCCCTCATATTCCTGCTTGCTAGGCCGACCATGGATTCACAATGCTGGCGCTGTCACTTCTATGTTGCACCAAATGCTGAAGTATCCAATTCAAGGGAAGATTATCACTGTTCATGGAGAGGAAGAGTACATGATTAGCCATCTCAATTCCTCCAGATATATGGAATTAGATGGTGAATTTATTGAAACTCCATTTCAACACTTTGAAGAAGTCCCCCAAGATGTAGTAACGACCAAGGCTATGTCTCAGGTTCCCAAGATTACAAGGCCTCCACTCCAGATGTCATCTCTGAAAGATGCCCAGGCAGTAATAGAAGAAGGTGGGTGCACTATCTGGGGACAACTCTCGGATATCCCATACAAGTCAGACAAGTTTGGTCTGGGTTTCACTTCAGGTGCCCAGAAGGCTGTGCACCGCGCTCGTGCCGGAGGACCACCCCTGAAGATCAGAAACCGCGAGGTCAACACCGTAGAATATGATTAAGATAGTTGTGGCTTGGAGGAATGGATATTCCCAACTATCAGTGGAGGACTCAGCAACTGGGAGGCTAGAGATTTTGTCCCGATCACTTTTATCCCACAATAATCTGTCTATAAATTTTGTTGGATCTATAATATTAAAACAATTCGCACTCTTAAAACCTTGTGTCTTACCCGAGGCTCAATGGTCCATTTGTAAGGGTTATTGTCTCATTTTCATATGACATCAATGAATCATGGTGAAACAACTTGGCCGAACCGTTATCTTTAAATGAAAAAAAACAATGAAGTCGCCATCGAATGTCTTTTATCCCGCCAAAAGGGAAAGGTAAACATCGAGAAAACCTGAAGAGGGAGAAATCACGGTCTTTCGACCGAGAGATCGGGTGAGGGAGTCTGTTACGCGAGGGGAAGGTATTAGCATCCCACACGCCCGTAGTACTTTACGGTATCCACTCTTTTTGTCTAATCTAATAGGTGTGGTCAAAACCTATGTCTATGGCTTAAAGCTAAAAAGGGGATGCATGCGAAAGAAAAAAAAAAGAAAACAATGTAGGGAAAATAAAAGTTGTGCTCGGTTGGGCCCTACCCCAATGCCTACGTATCCCTTTTAAGGAACCAGAGCAGCCATAGTCCGGCTCATATATTCTGGTTGGTTTGTGTTTTTTAGTTAAGACAACAAAAACAGTCAAGATGGGAAAACATCAAATAAAACAACAAACAAATGAGATGGTAAAAACATCGACTAAATAATAACAAAGTAACATGTCAAAGATGGTGAAACACCAAATGATAAAACAACACACCTAACAATGACATTGAGAATCAAAGTAGGATAACAAACATGTGCGATGGCGAAACATTGGCTTCAAACAAATGTGCGATGGAGAAACATCGGCTAAAAGATAACAAGGTATCATGGCAAAGATGGCGAAACATCAATAAACCGGATGACAAAACATCACACCTAACAATGATATTGAGAATAAAAGTAGGATAACAAACATGTGCGATGGCGAAACATCGGCTTTAAACAAATTTGCAATGGCGAAACATCGGCTAAAAGATAACAAGGTATCATGGCAAAGATGGCGAAACTTCAATAAACCGGATGACAAAACATCAAACCTAACAATGATATTGAGAATCAAAGTAGGATAACAAACATGTGCGATGGCGAAACATCGGCTTCAAACAAATATGCGATGGCGAAACATCGGCTAAAAGATAACAAGGTATCATGGAAAAGATGGCGAAACATCAATAAACTAGATGACAAAACATCACACTAACAATGATATTGAGAATCACTGTAGGATAATAAACATGTGCAATGGCGAAACATCGGCTTCAAACAAATATTCGATGGCGAAACATTGGCTAAAATATAACAAGGTATCATGGCAAAGATGGCGAAACATCAATAAACCGGATGACAAAACATCACACCTAACAATGATTTTGAGAATCAAAGTAGGATAACAAACATGTGCGATGGCGAAACATCGGCTTCAAACAAATATGCGATGGCAAAACATCGACTAAAAGATAACAAGGTATCATGGAAAAGATGGAGAAACATCAATAAACCGGATGACAAAACATCACACTTAACAATGATATTGAGAATCAAAGTAGGATAACAAACATGTGAGATGGCGAAACCTCGGCTTCAAACAAATATGCGATGGCGAAATATCGGCTAAAAGATAACAAGGTATCATGGCAAAGATGGTGAAACATCAATAAATCGAGTTTAAAAGCAAATCCAAGAGGCGCACAAACAAATAAGATTGATTTATATCTTTTACCTTGAAGAAGGGTTTGAGTTTATTAGAAGTGTTTTAGGATTTGCCAAGAAAACAATTTTGTGTTTTAAGATGCAAAATGCAAAGGAAGGAAAAAACAACTAAGGGAAACTAGCCTAGCACTATCCCTAGTGTTATCATACAATGATTGACCCTAAGAATGAGGATAAAGGAAAATCCTACCCTATGCTAGCATACATGGATTCCTACCTTAATTAACATGTCAAAGGAAGCTTAACAAAACTTATCCTATAGTGAACAGGCAATGAGAGCGAAGTCGTGATATCAATTTCTAAATTGAGTGACTCATCGATCAATGATTAAAGAAAAAACAATAAATATCCTATAGGGAACATTCACTGAGAGCGAAGTCGTGATCTCAATTTCTAAATTGAGTGACTCATCGATCAATGATTAAAGAAAAAAATAATAAATATCCTATAGGGGACATGCACTGAGAGCGAAGTCGTGATCTCAATTTCTAAATTGAGTGACTCATCGATCAATAGTTAAAGAAACAAACACAGACACAACACATGTATCAAACATAACAGAGGGCCTCCTGACATATATCAGCAACAAAGGTCCCATCATGCAACATAGAAATATGAAAATAGAATAAAGGAAATAGTACAATACCAAACGGATAACTATCCGTAGCAACTGAGCAAGAATAAAAGAAACCCAGATAACTTCAAGCAAGCTGGCATCAGCAGACAAATCAAGTCAAAAATTACGCCATCAGGATGTAAGTATTGAGATTTTCAGATATGAACAGATCCCATGGGAAATGTATAGCATTCATAATCACATATACATATCCTGCATAGACTATCAAATATGCAAAGCACAAGAGTAGTACCAATATAATAAATTGTGTTCCACAAATAAAGTGAAACACAGTAGCCTCAAGTCAAAAATGGAAAACTTTTCTCAGAGTACCTCGCGCATTCAACAGGCAAGTTAGTATTCCCATAAATAGAATGATGACTCTCATAAAGGATGGATGATGACACCATAATGAAGTGAGAAATCATGATAGCAACTATCAAAACATTAGATATGATAGACAAAAAGAAACTGGCATATGCACAATTTGGTCAAAAGTTAGAGGAATGTTGCTCGTTTCTATCACCATATTGAATTGACAATTGAATATCAATAAAGGATAATGGGAGCTTGAAAAGAATACAATCAAATACCATGAAGGTCAGTAGCAACCACAATTCAAACATACTCAAATACTTCATCACAACTCACAAGCATAATAGAAGAGGAATCCCACATAATGCATCAAAGACTTAGATCTCAAGCTAACCATGGAAGAAAGTCAAACAATGACAAAATTAAAGAGTTTGTAACAATCAAATATTTGAAGTAAAGCTTCCAAAACATGATTAGGACATGATAAAAAGGTTAAAGTGTTGATTCTAAAACATGCTGCACGAGTGCATTCAAAATGCCTCAAAAATTCAACAAGGATAAAAGAAAGAAGCCAAACTCTATTCATGATTAGAACTAACTTAAGTAATAGGGATCAATTACTCTCAAGTCCTCATGAGACTATCATTGAAGTGTCATTTCCCTTCATGTTATCATTGTCGATCTAATGACCTCAAACTCAAATTGAAAGCCCAAGTTTCAAAGTGAAGATCAACAAGAAAGCAAAAATGACTTGAAAAATGACTTGGGGCATTAAGTGAAATGACTTGAGTTTATGTGGATAAACAGAATCAACATGATCATTATAGGCCTCACTCAAGTTCATTGGCCATCAAGCAAATTGCAACAAGATATGCAACATTAATTAGGTACCTTCACTTAAAAAATACATCAAAAAAAAGGAAAAGGGCTTCCATAATTCAAACAAAAAACTTCTTAGCATCCTTGAGATGTATAAGAGTCAGCAAACATGTTTTAAGTTCATGGATGGATGAGGAAAGGATCAATCAAACTTCAAATATCAAAAACTAGTTGGCAAAAACCACCAAACTAGA